TATTGACGTCTGTCAACATGCTGGTTCGAAAGTTGTTGGCATATGTCAACAAACGTGCAATGATCTCAAGCCTACCAAGTCAATGAAATGTCAATTTGCATGTCATTTTGTCCAAAAAAAACTTGGATCCCAACGCTGTTCTTTTCCCTTGCAAGTTGTAACGACTTACACAAAAGATTTGTGCATGCGTTGTACTAATGGTGCAGACGGTATATATCATAAGCATGTCAGTGTTGTGCATTGGATACACAATAATTTTGTATACTTTCACACTGAACGGGAAATTCCAACCAATTATTTTTTGCAGATTCATATGCCTCTTGAGTTCCACCAAATAATTTCCTCATCGTTACAAAAACGTCAATTGCCAACCGATAACTTAGCACTTATGGCAGAAAGTACAGGACAGTTATTTTGCCTTCCAGCATAAAGAAATTCGACATTTATCGATTACCACGGGCTTAGAAGCTAAGTTAATGGAATAATAGAGGGGTACTTTAGAAAGACAATTATCACGACTCTTTCGACTTAATGGTTGATCCCGAAGGAAGCCTTCAGTCTTTCGGCAAGATGTGGCAGCGTCTGTATGCTATCTTGGGTTGCCTGTTCAACACATGACTCCAAATTGTTGAGTGAATTGGTTGTGACCCCTTGTTGCTTAGCTGCTTCGAACTTGTCCTGACAGACCATCAGTGCCCTACTTAACCTCTCCTGCATTCGGTACAAGAATTTTCATAAGTAGTTTGCTAGATGACAGCCTGAAAACATATTCGCTACGCATACAAAAAGCACAAGTTTAAACATAAAGAGCTCTTTCACAAGCAGTCATACAACAAACTTGACATGCATCTGAACGAAAAAAAACTCTGCTTACAAGTGGATGTTACAGCAAATCACAATTATGTCCTCAATTAAGAAACATTACTAATAATATCTATCTATGCTACTATCACTATCAGAACCAAACATTGCATACTCCCCTTGCATCAATAACTGCCAAAGCGATTGCCGTTACCACCCTAATACTCATTTTACGTCAGAAATGAACATTCAAATCCACAAGTTGATTGCCACCAAAACAACTGCGGTCAACATCTTACTCTACCGAAGAAGCATACATCATAAGTGAACTACTGTTAATGTGCTTGTTCTCTTCATTGTCATAAATGCACTGTTACCTACCTGTCATATCCATGAATGTTTTTCACAGTACAACTTAAATATCAACCTAAAGGAAGCAAAGGCAAACTGGCAAGGCTATCTCATTCTTATAGAATTCTTGCTTATGATACAACTTCTAATAGTGGTAAAAAAAGCATCAACTTATCTTCAAGCCAAATTCTTGGAGACTCTTATTTTTTATATTTGCATATTATCTTGCCCCTTAGCCGACCCCACTTAGTGGGAAAAGGCTTTGTTGTTGTTGTTGTTGTATTATCTTGCCCCTCTTCTGATTTCTGTTTTAGATGTGAAGGGTTGAGTTGGTACCTTTTCTGTACTTCTAAGCATTACAAGATACCAATGGTTTCTACAAGCCACTTGGTTCCTTATTTTGTTGTTAACTCCTCGACTAAGTTAAAGCCTGCAACTTTGTAGTGTATTAGAAACTTAGAAACCATCTTTCCTTGTGTATCATGGGGCCGGACCACATTATGGTTTCAAACAATGTTATTAGGATAGAAACGAGCCTTCAAAAAAACTATCACCTTGAAGAGTTAGTTATAGGAGAAGAAACGTAGCTCTGCAAGCCAATAACTACAAAAAGAATCCTCCGACTGTTTATATAAAGTTCTCATGAATGGACAATGTGGACCTACAAAAACCTTAAAAATCCTGAAATTGAGTAATTGAAACATGTTATTCAGTTGCACACACGTAAGCTTTTAACATTTTTTTAACACACTACGTTGGAATTCTTAGGTAACTTCGACATTTTGCATCCTAGTAATTGATAAGGTTTTAGAGCTTATGGAAGCAAAGATGGAAACATAGTACATTGACTATTAACTTATGGGGACATCCCTTTATTGAATTACATCAGGAGGGTTGAGATACAGTGAGAACATACAGATGGGGTAGCATCTATATATATATATATATATATATGTATGTATGTATCGAACAAGATATTATCTCACTGGATCAAGAAATCAAACCATAGGACCGAGGTGTGTGCCCACACAAGTCACACACACATTATATATGTACAGGTAGCTTCTCAATGGAGGGTATAAGTCTTTCGAATTCAATTAGGATAATTTGAACCATTAGATGTCTTGTGTGTCGATGAGGTTAAGATAAAAACTAATGGTCATATGCTTAATTTGGACCCCGTTTACAAAACCCAAGAAACAGCAGACAATCACCGCAAGAGCTTCCTCCTTGTGCTTCTCCTCCATGTTAGAACCAGAGTCTACCAGATTAACATTGGTTTCACAGATCATAGCAGAAAACATCTAGCTCACAACGTAGAATCTCCTCCAAGAACCAAAAGCTCATAAATAGGAGAAACAAAATTGTAACTCCGTCTTCAAAAGTAAAATCAGTCTTTAAAAGAAAATACATATATCATAAAAACACACCATACTGGGTTTTCTTAAGAGGCTGAGAACAACCCGAAGAGGTTAGCGTAGTTAATTTATATTCTTTCAGTCATGGAAATGGCGAAACCCATAAATTAGAAAGAAAAGAAAACAAATCTTGTGAGTGGGACAAGCTCTTGTGGTTTGGCCTGAGCAATTTCTATGCCGAAAAGCTCCTGCGGCTTGGTGTGAGCCATTTCGATTTTCAATTCTGTAAGCGATTTCCATGGAGGAGAAGCACTTGTGATGGTGGGAGAAGCAAGGGGTGAGTTACACGGTAAAGTGGTCTAGTGCTTCTTGGGTTTTATGTGCAAATCAGGCAAATGGCACTACACTAGTTTTTGTTTTCAATATTCATCACACAAAACATCTGACAGTTCAACTAGAAAAGGGGGAACACATAAGGAATTCTAACCACTGAAAGAGACACGGGAAAAGTAAGAAGAACTTACTTGAAACTTGGCCATCTCATTCTCAACTCCCTCTTGAGCTCTGACAACAGGAACACTGCAATTTTCAACACAATTGCTTATGTCTTGCTGACTTCGTCTCCTATCAAAACACTCGTGCGCACACTTGAAGTACGCTTGCTGCAAAAGGTCCTCAACCAAAATTTTAGCTGAAAAATTACTACATAAAGTGATATATAAGTACAGAGAATCACCAAGTTTGCATTGCATCCCAGGTTTCGAAACCATATCAATCAACAAGTAAATTATAATCTAAAAAAAAAAATCAATTATTGGCTTTATATCTGGAATGCAAATTCAAAAAATAAAATCTACAAAAATTATAAATGAATAAAAAAGTAAGCCCCAAACAAAGACTGCACACTTGAATTGAATGACTGTTTTCTCTAGCATCAATTATCAAAGTAGCTAACTTCTTATACTTAATTTTCCTTTTGCATTTTCTGAGCAACCAAACAGAGCCCAGTAACAATACCACAACCATATTTTTCATATTTTACAAAATTTTCTCAAAACCAAGCAGCTGACAATGCAGTAATTATGTGAAATCCATAACCATCAATCACACACGCATATGTGTGTATATATATATATATATATATATATGTATATTATATGAAATCTTTACAAATACACACAAACATATATCACAAGATCAACCAAAAACTCCGAAAAAAAAGAAGCAAAAGAATCAAACACCGGAAGATGCATATATACCTGAAGGGTGAAATTGACATGGTCTTGGATGGTGGAGAGTTGGGTCTGGGCAGCGACATTTACTTCGTTTAGCTTTTGCTTTAATCTCTCCGATACCAATTGCTCTTCCATTGCTGCTATGTGATTCATCTTCCTCCCCCTCTCAATTCCTTCGAGGATTCGCGTGGTGTGAGCTATATGAGATGAGAGCGACGTACTCAGGGTTTAGGGTTTTGTGCGGTTATATAAATAAAATGGCTAATTACATCTCAAACCCTCGACATTTGAAGTGATTTGTAAAATGTGCCACAATTTTTTAATTTTACACATTTTACACTAATGGGAGAAATTATCGAGTGATACGGTATACGTCAGCTGCTTTTTAGTACTTCCACTCAAATTTTGCCACGCGCACATTTTTTTGCAGCTGAACTTATAGCCTTCTTTATGTTTTATTTTGAGCAAACTGTTATTTGATTATTTGAGTTATTATTTCAGTTGAAATTGACCATTTAAACTAATTTTTTTTGGAAAATTAATCAATTAATTCCTTGTTGGTAGATTCTATCTACTATCTTCTCAAATTCAAAAGCAAATTAATCTTTTCATCATCAATTTTTATTTGTCAACTATTATCATCAATAAAATTATGAAATATGAATATAAAATAATGTGTAATGTAAACGTTCATTTTTTTATGTTTTCTTATTATGTTATATGTTTTACATAAATGTTCAATTTTTGATATTTTCTTATTATGCTATATGTTTTATAAAGAGGTCGTATTTGGTGCGATGACAAGTACCTTCACCCATGAACGGTAGGTCTCGAGTTCGAGACTTGGGAGCAGTCTCTCCATAAAATGGGGGTAAGGCTAGCCGACATTCACCTCTCCCAGACCCTGCGTAAAGCCGAAGCCTTGTGCACTGAGTACAACCTTTTATGCTATATGTTTTACACATTATTTTGTGTTTATATGTCATAATTTTATTAATGCTTATAATTGACAAATAAGAATTTATGATAAAATAACTAATTTGTCTTTGAATTTGACGAAATAATAGACGTAATCTAACAAAACAAAAATTAATTGACTAATTTTAAATAGTTCAAAAAATTAATTTATTAGAAAAATAGTTCAGGATCAATTTCCACTTGTCAGTAGTTTAGGGTTAAACCAGCATTTTACACATTTTTTTTCCTTGTTAAAAAGGAAATTAAAAAATTAAAAACTTAAATTAATAATAAATGCCCTCAACCACCGATACGGCAGATCCCAATCTCCGGCCACCACTCTCACACCTGCCATGGCTGCCATCCTGGAATATCACCTCGAATGTCATACAATATCATCTCCCCCTTCAAAACTAATTCCACCTTCAGCATCCAGCAAATGGTTCCCATGTTTTCCTCTGAGCAAATATAAGTGTGGGATTTCAACAGCTTGAGCAAATATAAGTGTGGGATTTCAACAGCTTGAAAGCCCAGAAAACGAGCATCAGAAGGTACGACCGCCTCTGAAGTATCGGGAAGCTATTTTTCTTTGACGAACTCGGCCTCGGCGAATCGTCTTCCTCCCCTGGACTCACTCGTTTCCTCTGCAACTACTTCCTTCTCCTCTCCGGAGTCGTTTAGAGCCCTCCTCTGCCACGTCATCACCGCTTCTCTCGTCCTCATGTGTCACCCGCCACCGCGATCATCAGAAGGCGCCGGTGAACTGTACAAGAAGACGGAGGGACACGGCTGCGTTTAATGGGGGAAGACGACGCACGGACGTCTGCGTTTAATGGGGGAGTTATTTATTTATTTATTTCATTTTATTTCTTAATTTTTTATTTAATCCAGCTGTTCAAAAATTGTACAAATGGCAAGTTTTGAGTGGAAGTACCACAACTGACGTGGTAGGACTGCATCACTGTATAATTTCTCTGGGAAGCAGCAGCAGCAGCAGAGCGATAAGAGGCGAAGTGGGGACGGACTGAGACTCTCACCCTCGCCGTTCGCCATTTCACATTCGCCATCACTGACTCTTCCTTCCTTCTATCATCCATCTCTTTCGGTTTCAGGTCTGCCTCTCAACCATTTCAATACATTTTTTTATTTATTAATTTTCACAATATTTTTCTGCTTTAATTTGACTTCTGCAACTTTCCGTTTGAAATTTGGGTAATTGCATAGTTGGTTGGTTTGGGCAGGCATTGAACCTCAATGGGTCCTCTGACGCTAGTAGTGAACTCGAAAACGGGCTCAGGAACTTCACCAGGTGAACAATTTTCTTAATTTTTGCTCCTCTGCCTTTTTTTTTCCCCTTATTTATTTCTGTTTATTGATATTAATAGCATAATTTAGCACCACGTTGTACAACACCACATAGGATAGAGTAATTTAGTTTTTCTTGACATTGCGCGGTTTTGGGATAAATATGTTGTGGCCAATGTTGAATGCTTAAGCTTTCCTTACCCGTTAGCACCCGTAAATGAAGAGAATAAAAGTTTATCTAGTCAAAATTGTATAGAATCAGAATATGTGAGATATCTCAATTATGTATAAATACTCCCAACAACAAGGTGTTGTCCCACTAAGTGGGGTTGGCAGTATGAATCCTAGAACGCCATTGCGCTCAGTAATTATTTTTACAGTAATGGAAGGATTTGGTTTCACTTTCTCTATATGTTATCGACGAGCCTTTAGTCTAACGATTTTATTTTGTATATAAAGATATAACATTATTTGTAAGAGGTTTATTTTGTGAATTGCAAATATTTAGAGCCCTTTGTTATTTATTAGTAGGTTGTCTCTCACATGATCTCTCGAGGTTTATTAGGAACTAGCCTTTTTGTAGAAATTTCTCTCTTCAATGTTAATTAGGGAAATCCCATAAAATATGTTGCTATAACATATCTTGCTTGACCATAGATTAAGCATTACATTTGACCAAATATTACGTAGAAATTGTTCAGAAGTCTAGAACAATACCCCAGTTTTACGAGGTAGTATACACTTTCAGGTATAGGGACTATAACACATATAGATATCTAATCTACCTACGCTCTTTCTTTTGATGATACAGAATTTTGGTATGTTCCCTTGGTATTTTATATTTAATGTTTTAATGAGTGATATGGATTTGCAGATGAATATAGCCAGAAAACGCAGTATGCTCCTATAGGAACACGGAAGTCTTTTGCATCAGTCAGCATGCAGGAAGAGAAACCCTTTGATTTCTTACGCACTTTATTTGGTACGTTTAATAATTACAGTAGAAGATATTGATTAGTGTTTACTTATTTGTTAAATTCTGGGTTAAAGTTCATTAAGCATCATAATTAAGCCAATGTTTTATATTGACAAATGTATTAAGTGACTGCTAACTGTTAGAGGTTTAATGTAGAGTAAAGATTAGTTTCACAATTAGGTTATTGAGGGGGAGTAGAGCTAGATAATATCAGAGTGATTGCAAAAAGGTAACAACTCTTGCTTTTTTTAGCAAAGGAAAATGAAAAAGCTAGCATGGTGTGGGCAATAGTGTGTGGCTTTTATAATGATCTTGTGGCTAGATGGAGGAAGAGGTGAAGCCAATAGCTTTTCAGTTTATAACATCGTCTATTTCTTGGAGTATGCTACTTGGCCTATGTGCATTACATACTGCACACCTGATTTAACTAATAACTAGTATGGCTGGATTTTGCAGAGGGTGTCATTGCAGGAGGTACAGCCGGGGTTGTTGTTGAAACGGCTCTATACCCCATTGATACTATAAAGACAAGACTGCAGGCAGGTTAACAATGAAAGTGCATTCTAGTTCATTTATGTACTTAAACTTGATGGGTTTGAACCGCTGGTCCTCTAGCCTATCCATTATGTATATGGTTTAATATTATGATTGGATACAAAAGGTAGCTCAGAAAGTATTAAGTGAACTACTAGTTATTTTTGTGCTGTGAGACTGGGATCTACTTCTTAGGTCAAGCGCACTCAGTTGTTTTGTTTTTTCTTCCTTGTTCCCTTTTGTTTTGTATCTGCATGCTGCATAAGGTCTGTCTAGGAAGAATGGTCTATTCAATAACCGGCTTCGTTTGCATACTTACAATTTTTATCTTGACCATCAAGTTATGTATGAACACCATTTTGAACTTTGGAACAGGCTGCTCGTGGTGGAGGGAGAATAGCCTTTAAGGGGCTTTATTCTGGATTGACTGGAAATCTTGCTGGTGTCTTACCGTAAGTACCTTCTGAATATGTGGTGCATGCGTGAGCTAATTAGCTTAATATTAATTGGGATATGCATGCTTATTGTATTTCTATGCCATGAACATGGATAGTGGAGAGTTAGTTCTTAAATGGCTGAGTTCATGTTTAGTGATTGTTAGTGGTTTTTAGTTTTTGTCATCATGACCAGTTCATTGTTTAATGGAAATTTTATTGGATAATAGTTAGATGGCTAAATGGTCTGCAAGTTGGTTTCTGTAAGAAATATCTTCGACAGGGACCTAAAAAATGAATGGTTCAGACCACTGGATCACATTGTATAGTTCAGCTCCTCGTATGCGCACGTGCACACACTCAAAGCAGCTACATTACTATTAGAGTAAAACTCCTTTCCTGTAAGGATTTGCAGTCTGTCACTACCACATCACATATTGGATTTTAGCAGACCTTCCGCCAGTGCTATAAAATGTTTACTGTGAAGAACAATCTAATGTGTATGTAAAAATTATTTACTTGTGTGCAGGGCTTCTGCAATTTTTGTTGGAGTGTATGAACCTGCGAAGAAAAAACTGTTGAAGATTTTCCCTGAAAATCTAAGTGCTCTAGCCCATTTTGTAAGACAAATATATCTACTCCTCTATGTTTTATGTATTTCAAGTGGGAATATGACCAATGAGCGGTCTGCAAAGTCTTCTCTGCTTATTACTTTATGCATGAAGGCCCGTTACATCATAAAGATTGTTGCTCTCAGTCTCAGAATGCATGGTGCATTATACTACTAGTGGAATTATCAAACACCTTTTGATGCATGCCTCCTATTATGTCTCAACGGTCACCAAATGAGATCAGTAGTCTAGTATTACATGATGTGGTTGTGATCTACATATGCTCTATGGAATCAGCTACCACAATTATATTTTAGAAAAAATTATTTCTTGTCCTTAATGATACAGTTTAGTAATCCTTTGAACCTATTTGGTTGCCTGATACTTATGTTGATAAATTGGCTGGTGTAAACTGTTTTGTCTTGATAGAAATCCTTTTCTTGAACTTTTCTAGACAGCAGGGGCTTTTGGAGGTATTGCTGCATCACTCGTTCGTGTTCCGACAGAGGTATAGTAGTTTACTTATGCACTTCCATGTTCAATTATATTTGGCTGATATTTTTCTGTCCTAATATTTCTCAGGTTGTTAAGCAAAGGATGCAAACTGGGCAATTTACATCAGCCTCTGTTGCTGTCCGCCATATTGCTTTTAAAGAGGGCTTTAAAGGATTCTATGCGGTGTGTATTCTTACTAAAGGGCAAATCAAGTCCCTATTTTCGTAGAAATTGGATTGGAAGTTCCTGGTTTTCCTCCTAGGTCAAAAAGTTGAAATGGTTTTCGTTATGAGATGGTGTCTGTTGCTGTTTTGGTCTCTGTTTTTGTTAGCAATATTGTAATACACAACCTAGAGGCATTAGTGTGCCTTCGTTCGTCTATCCATCTGTTTTTGTCATTTGCTTTCTCTCTTTTCCCTATTAAAAAGATGCAACCAGGATAGCATTCTTATTGTGTTGTTATGTTATTTTTCAATTTTGACCTTTTTTTCTTTTGTGTAAAAGTAGGGATATGGATCGTTTTTATTGAGAGATTTGCCATTTGATGCAATTCAATTTTGCCTATACGAGCAGCTTCGGCTAGGTTACAAAAAAGCAGTAAGCTTCTCACCACCTTTCGATTATTTTTGCAGGCTAGAGTGAGCCATTGATTAAAATTACTTACGACTGCTAATATTTTCCATTTTGTACCTTGACTGCATAACTGGTGCTGATGCTATGTTTGACAAGTGATAAGGTTCCTCTTGGATAAATCCTTGCACAATAAGTATTACTTGCTGTTCATGTTCATAACTTTATCCTTATTTTCTTCGTTTATAAACTTATTGACATTTTGTGAGGCACTGAGAACCTTTGGAATGGAACATTATAAACTTATTTTTCATTTCAACTGATAAACAACTTTCTTTCACAAAAGTGTGAAATTATGGGGTTATGTAGTCATGGGGTCTGTACTTCTGTTTTTGTTTTATGATTATTGGTTTATTATGTTACGTTCTCTTGGGTAAAGGGATCAGGAAGTTTTGAAAGGCAGGAGGTTACTTTAAACTATGGGTAACAATGAAACCGTTAAAACCATATAAAACACCTACAGAGGGATGTAAAACTCTTGGAAGTGTGGAAGTTGAGTCGGTAACTAATGATTTAATAAGGATAATACTCGGGTCCTGACAAGTTAAAGAAGGTAAGAAAACAATGATTAAGCAAGAATCAATCGTGGAGATGACCAAATTGGGTTTGTGCTCGGCAAATCCACCATGGAGACAATTTACATACTAAGAAATTAATGGAGTGTTGCATTTAAAAGAAAAACAATTATTATTTTACGGTTTAGGAAAGAAAGACTTGCATGTGAATGTGATATTATTAAGGGTTAAGTACATAAAACCCTCCAAACTATAGGGTCCACCGCAAATGGTACCTGTGCGGACCACAACAGCTCTCCAATCTGCAGAAATAGAGAAAAGTGCAATGCCCTTAAACACTTAACATATCCAAACCCATAAAGATCAAAAAGTGATTGTATGCCATAAATCCTGTACTGCCTCCCTTAATCACTTTTTTGATCTGTTTCTGTTTGTCAGGCAAAAAGAGAGCTCAACGATCCTGAAAATGCTATCATTGGGGCTTTTGCTGGTACATAGCTTTTGCTCTTCATTTTGTATGAAATACTGGATTGTATCATATACTTCTGCTTTGCAATCACGTAAATCTTGTCAAAATTTAACTTTTCTGAGGGGTGGTTGATGGAACTTCCTTCGCATGCACTGAAAATTTAAGACTTAGAAGTGATAAATTCTGGTTAAATATTTGACTTCTATGATTCTATCCAATGGATTCTAGCAGTGGTTTTCCCAGGGTGTGATTTACATCCATGGAAGCAAATGCACATATTCATGCAGTTTTCTCTTCACTTTCCGTTCACTTTGACATACAGCTGCATTTTTTTTCCTTATTTTTTGGCTTTCTCTTTTGGGGGTGGGGAAGAAGTTGTTTCGGTTGGCTGAGCACTTGTCTAGACTTCATGGAAGAGTGCTGTTCTATCTCTATTGTCATGAACTGCAATAATCTTATTCCCTGCAATTTACTAATTTTGGGACAAGTATAAGAGGAACCTCATTCTCCCTTTAAGAATACAAAACTAACTTTGTCATGTCGGTTGTATGAAATCTCTCATATATTGAATATCAAACTCTCGCAGGCGCAGTAACTGGAGCAATAACCACTCCCCTTGATGTGATTAAAACCAGGCTAATGGTTCAGGTAAGGCCAAACTGCTATTCTGCTTTCTGTTATTCTTATCGAAGCTCTTATACTATAACGTATGCCCAGTGTCAGAGCTTGGAAATTATATCAGGGATGCCATATTATATACCATAGTTTGAGGGGCGCTAATTAAAAGAACTCGCATAAGGGCTAATTTAACTAACAAACATTTGGGCAACCTCCAATTGTTTGCATCTGTGTTTAGATTTCTTCTTGCAAAGAACCACGTGAACATAAGTTTTTGCACGGAGTCATGTGGACGTTTCTCTGTTAAGAAACAGTTATATCGTTTGTTTGCTTGCTTGTTTTAAGGGATCTGCAAACCAGTACAAAGGAATCATTGATTGTGTTCAAACTGTTGTGAGGGAAGAAGGACGTTCTGCTCTTTTGAAGGTGTGTATTAAGCATCCGTTATTTTCTTTTCATACAAAATACGTATCCCATGTTTTTATTTTTATTTATATTTATTTATTTATTTTTCTTTTTCTAGCAGCCCATGAAATGGAAATAAACAACGAAGTAAAATGGTTTACAATTTATTTTTGGTTCCATATTCTTCAGTTCATAGTAAGTTATGTATCTCTTGGATGGTCACTAGAGGTATGATATGAGGCCTGTAGGATGCTTTAGCTGGATCGATCATTGACTAATCACCAACCTTCATTGACAATTAATCAAAGGACTTTATGTTCTTGCAATGCCTCGAGTCGAAAATACAATTTCATCTCCATAGTTTGGACCATTTTGCACTTATGTTCGAGCAGTTCGAATTTTGTCAACACATTGATTAAGATTAGGATATGGGTTCAAAAGCGCACTTTACATGAAATTAACCGGGTGAAATATCACATGAGATCGCAATATGTGGTAGCCAACTGTAAGGAGTTTCATTTCCTTCCTGGTCCATAAATACTTGTACTCTCTCTATATTTGGGTCTCGGGTTGGATATGCTTTGGTCTTTGCTATCACATCTCTTGCCGGTTCCACATAATCATCTTACTGATACGACTTATGGCCCGAAATGGAGAATAACTTTTTGTGATCCCTTCAACTCATCACAAAGTATCTGACGTACCAAACAGGTTTCAGTCGAGCGCTGAGGCCTGGATTTGGGGGGTTTTGTGTATGAAATATTACAGAGCGTTGATCATGATGCGATTTGTAGTTCGTTGCTGACCAAAGTTATCTTGTGTTTACTTGCTTCAGGGCATCGGGCCGAGAGTACTGTGGATAGGCATAGGCGGATCAATCTTTTTTGGAGTCCTTGAGAGGACAAAGCAGCTGCTTGCTCAGAGGAAACCTGCACTTCCTCAAGACTCAAAGCAGGATTAACATTTAGATGATTTATTTATTTATCTGGACTTATCGTAGTTGTTTTTGTTTATTTAAAATGTAAAATGCCAAAATTAAGCTAGTGTGAAACATGATTAACGTCAAGATTTCAGTGTTTAAGTGAGAAACATGATTCATTTTTTTACTAAATAATGATTAGATGATTGAACGATTATAGACTTAGTTAATTTTTTTGCATAGATGATCTTTAAACGGTGATTTAAAAAGCAGACGGATTAGATCAATAAGCAACATTACAGTATGAGAAGTAGAGCTGAGAAGGTAGAACGAAAATGTTTAAATGAGAAGGTTGTTAACATTTCTCATCTCTCATATCATATGATGTACATAGTAAAACAAACGTACAGATAGTCATGAGTAAATATAATTGTACCCTTGAGCTATGTTTGTTGCCCTACAAGGCTCCCTAAAATTGTTACTAGGTGGATTGACAATGGTGGATTCATGAATTTTTTTGGGGTCTATTAAATTTTCGGAGGTAAACAATATGTAGATTTTAGTGTGGCATTTTGTTGAACAGTTGGTGGAGTATAGTCATCTCCAGAGCCATATTGCGAGATTAGTCTGTCAACATATGCAAAAAGGTATGTAGATAGATGTTGAAAACAACTCACAAAAAGGTGATGCCAAGTCTCACTCTGGCATTTTGTTGAACACCTTAATCGAAAAACTAAAAACTACAACTCAAATAAATTTCAAACCACAATCTCAAAAACCAATCGACTTCATATCACATTTCAACTTCTAAATTATATAAGTAAAACTAACATTGCAATAAAATAAAATAAAAAAGCACAAAATAACTACAAAAATCCAAATCCTAGGAAAACAAAACTTAAAATTCAATTCATAATTGAACGAAGACATCAAGAACGTAAAAATTAAGAAAAACGTGAGAAAAAGCGGAACTAAATCGACGAATTGGAAATTGAGCCCAGCCTCGCCGTCAGTTGCCGTTTCAAACAGAGAAGTAATGACAATTTCGTCACATACACACAAACGGAAAAAACGCGTATGATGTCATCTTTTACATGTTTAAATTATGTCTTTCCTTGAAATAAATTGAAATCCTTGTCTCAATTCAAAATTAAAATCTATAAGTACACTTTTTGTGTATAATCAACTTGAATTCGAAATAGTTAATTGAAATCTTAGTGAAAGATTGGATTTGTTATCTTAAAAAAAAATGTTTGCTTTTTGTGGAAAAATACCAATAATTTTTCCAAGACATTAACTGGATGAGTAAATTTAATCTTACTAAGAAATAATAAAATGATATAAATTGAAATGACAAAATTTTTATTTCTAAAATTTGTGAATTTTATTGTTTGGCTAATCTAAAATAAAAATAAAACTTAAATGCGAAAATTAACATGTATATAGAGTCATTAATAATAAATCAAAGATTGTAGTTAGAAGATGTGCTAATAATGGTGGTGTGATGACTGTGATGCTAGTGGGTGACGATGGTGGTGGTGACAAATGTATGTGATGGCGGTAGTGATGATGGTGGTCGTTAGTAGTGGAGGTGACGTTATACAGAGGCGGCAGCAGCGGCAAGTATCTGGTTGTGACATGTGGAAAAGGATCCTCGCGCGAATCCTTTTCTTGGAGATCCTCAAAATCTTATAATCATGTCCATTTATTGTACATCGTGCAGTCATAAATTATTTAAAATTTAAAATTTAAAATTTAAAATTAAATATAAATAGTACTTAACGAAAACTGTCCGTACGATGTACGATGAACGGATATGATTACAATATTTCTCGGATTTCCAAGAAAAGAATCCTTGCATGATCCTTTTCCGTGACATGTGATGGTGGCCACTATTTTTATATAAAATAAGCAAATACATCCACGTGGGATTTTGGTGATTCAATTTATTTATTTATTTATTTTTGAGTAAATTGATATTTTACATTAAGAAAAGGAAAAATTTGACTAAGCCATATAATAAATAACCTAATTTGATATTTCATTTGTTATATTCGAATATAACATATTGTAGTATTGAGGGTCTGTTTTGTTTTTTTTCTGTTATACTATTGGAAAATGATATGAGAAACCTATTGAAGAGCCCACTTTACTCCTAAGCCGAAACATGTGGACTTCCTAATCACACTGTAATTTGCAAACCTCCACCACCCAGGCACCCACGCCGACCACCGCCCACCACCGCCCACCACCCACCCAATGTACAAGTTACATCAACGGCAGCGATAATCATCATAGGACGACGTACTCCACTTACCACTCATCTCTCTGTCTCGCATGGCAATTGCAGCTGCTGCTTCTCTCCCCTTCGGTAATCACCATCATATTCCTCTTTTCTCCCATTTGAATTTATGATTTTATATGAAGTTATTGCGATCATGCTTCACTGCAAGCTCCGTGAGTCGATGAAACGCCAATATGCGAAACGCCTGTTTCGATTTTCTAGTGAAGGATCATAGTTTTTGAGGAAATACCCACATGCAGAAATTGATTTATTGGGATTTTCTGCTGAGAATTCATACAAGTATTGAGTTGATCATGTTTAAATTGTAATTATTAAGATTTAATGAAAATAAATTTGTATATTCAACTTTTAAATTTTCTGTTTTCGTCTTGTTTTCGCGTATTTTCTTGGTAATCTGGTTTGTTGTATGCATTAGCTCCTACTTTGAACTTGGAAGCTTCGATTTTTCAGGGCTTCTGACACTTTATTGTTGTTGTTATTTTGTGCTCTGCAGAAAGGGTTTGTAGTTCTACAACGCATGGGATCTCAAGCAGTTGGATGAAACCGCCTTTCAATGATCGAAGAGCCCTTGATCTTCCAGGCATAAGGTGTTAAAAATGATTGCTTTTATCGATTTGTAGGGGCATTAATATGTGAATATGTGGAACATGTTGGGTTACACTATCCGGAGTCTAATAATATGCCATCAATATCATTGTTATTAGTTTCTGGTTGCGAGGAAAGTGGAGAGAGAAAATAATCTCTTCCTTAAGACGAAAACAAATCTTGTTGAATGAACATGAGTAATCTTTTTGTTAGCTATCTTTCATTCTCCATTCCTACGCTGCACTCTGGTATGGAGTTTAATGCTAGAAAATGAAAATGATGGAATTATGAGTAAGACATAGTGATTTTATGTGACTTTAGCTTGGCGGGGAACTTTTCTTTTCTTCCATTACCTTCATTGTTTTTCCTTTGGCTATTAAATTATTTAAAACTCCAATTTTATTACAAAACTTATGCTCTGCTTTGGTCAAAAGTTTATTTTTCCCATTAAAGTTTTAATTGCAGGAATCCTCTATTTGGATCAACACAATTCCACTGGCTGTCTAATGGACATGACCTTTGTCATTCCAAAGTTTCCGTTGCTGCAGATTACTCAGATTCTGTTCCCGATTCCTCTAGTTATTTGACTAGCCAAGGTTATCATCCTCTAGAAGAAGTGAAAGTCTGCAAAATGATCCGGGACACTAAACTCACTTCTGCTGAAATAGCAAGAACAACCGTAGAGGTCTGTTTTGATAATCTGTTCGAGTAATTCAGAATTTGAGTACCACAATGTCTGTTAGTAGGGCATATGGATGATGACATTTAAGATATCTATTTGCGGGACAAATCAAGCAGCATCAAACTATCAATGTGATTGGTGTTTTTACTATGCACGGTTAAATTTTATTTTTCTGCCTCAGGCTAACTGCAGTGCTACGGTGGTGTTCCCTGGGAGGATACATTGTGAACCACATGAACAAATTTCCTGGGCTGAGTTTGAATATGTTATCGACGATTGTGGAGGTGTTTTGCTGTTTATTTTGTTCATAGTTTTATATTTTCATGTCATTTTTTAATTAATAAAACAAAATTCTGATTCCATCTTGTTATTCTAACTATTTCTGTAGATTTATATTTTGAAATTTTTGATGATGCAAACTTATTAGAAGATCGTACAGCAAGTAACCCTGTGGTAAGGATCTGCTTGCCTTAATACATTTTTTTTACTTTAACAGAAAATCTCTAGGTCTAAAAGTTTTGAGTTGGCGAATATTCAATTTGATTCCAGATATTTTTAAGTTTTAAAGAAATGCCCTCAATTATATGTTGACATTTATACCAGCTTTGACAGTTAAGGCTTAAGTGTGGTTGATATTGTTTAGTTATATTTTTCACTTATATTTTGATTTTCTTACGCATTTCTACTAATGGCAAAATTGATATCTAATATGTGTGCATTGCCTTCAGAATGTTTTGTTCGGGATGGATATCCTTGCATATGATGACGCAAGAATATCTGGTGATTTCAGCATTCTAGATGGTAGCAGTAGCGATGAAATCCCTTTCGATGATTATTATTCAGAGGTCAGCAGAGGCAATTTTTTATTATTATTATTTTTCAAAACAAATATGACAGTCTCTTTTTCATTTAGGATTGGGTGAAAGGTTGAACCAACATAGATGGGAATACCAGGGTTTGGGTTGAAGAAAAGGAAATTGGACCTCATTTTACAGTTTGGTTTACAGACCAGAAATAAGCTAAAAAGATGGTAAAATAAAACATGAAAAAATAAAATTCCTAGCATAATCTTGATGCTTCTGATGCCTCGGACTCCAAATTATTAGCATGGGAATCTTTGTAGCTAGGATAAAGAAATTCCCACTATCAATTTGAAGTTTTAATAGATTAGAGGGAAGTGCGTAGCCAATCTAAATCCTGCCAAATACCATTTAAATTCTAATTGGTCTGGATGGCTAACTTTTCCTTCTTATAAACCTCACAGTTTCTTTTGTAAGCGCAATAGAACACTTTGATGTGTTAAATTTTTTATCTTCCAGTTGTTTTATAAACTTTGTCTGTATAGCACTGTAAGCAAGGCTAAGGAATTTCTTGTATTTGATTTCATATGTTTTGTATCATCTTTCAGTTCTTACATCTCTCAGACACATTTTACATGTAGAATTATAGATGTCTCTTCTTTTCCCTATTTAGTATCCCCACCCCCTTCTTTCTTCCTAGACTTAACTTACTTTACTTTCTTAATTCTGCATAGATGGTGAAGCTGACATACCTCTTGGTTCAAATAGGTTGTGGACTCTGAAGTTTCTGATGTTCTAGACTGGGGGTTGCCAGATACTTGTAGCTCAATTCATCCTATATGTTTTGCAAAGTACTTGACAAAGGTGATTTATAGATGTATGTGGCATTTACGATTTAAGCTGTTGTTAAGAATGGTTAATGAGTGTGGGCATCCAGCTATACCATGGGGGGTTAGAATAAATTTATATAGCAGGCCATTCAAGGCTGTTCACACACTGTTATAAGTTTTATGAACTTTGTTAATGAGCCATGTATAGTATATGAATTTGAGAAGTGGTAACCTGATAATTCGAGTAATAATTTTTATACTTTGCTAGAAGTTCCATTTTCTGTAGCTCATTGACGGAAAAACGAGAAAAAGAAAATGACTGCTTATATGTTACTATGGTCGAGGAAGCTTTTTGATTAAGAACAAAAGTTTTTTATGTGGATCTTCTGGACATTAATCTTACATAATATGGATTGATTTATTAGGCATGTTCTATTGTAGGCTATTGATAATGAATACAATAGGAAAATGGATCATCCATCCAATGGTGTCTCTATTTTAGGATGCCTCAGGCCTGCTTTTGCTGATGAAGAATTCTATGTAAGAAGACTGTTTAATTACGTAGATAGCGATGGATACAACTCAGACTGGAAAGGTATTTTGTGCTTCACATTTGGGTTGCTTTACTATTTCAAATTGACAAACTCTTGGTGGGTGGAGTAAAATGGTTAGATGTTTTTCTTTAACCAGATATGATATTTTTGGTTTTTGGCATGAATTGGATATGTATGCACTAATTCAGCTGATGAAATCTAATAGATCTTGTTACTGTCCGAATTCCTAACCTAGTTATTCTTGTAACTGACATAACAAGTTATATATCTGTTGGCTATTTCAAGTTGACCTAAACTTAACTTTTTGTTTAGATGGAAAAAGTGTGAGCCTTAGTTCTGAAAGTGATCGTAGCTCAACTCTCTACAGGTTGGAGATCATGAGAATAGAGTTGTTCTCTGTATATGGTGTTCAGGCATGTTCTTTCTACTGCCATCTATGTAGCTTCTACCGTTTTAAATGGAACAATTCTTTTAAGAATATGGCCTAATTTGTTAAATTCAGAATTGTAAAGGTCCAGAAAGTTGGCTTATGTTTTATGCAGGCAATAGTATACAAATATATGGCTTTTCCTTACAAACTTTTTAACATCGTTTATCTAAAGTCTTCTTATATTATTTTGTTTTATTTTTCTGATATTTGCAGTCTACAATTAGCTTGCACGATTTTCAAGATGCAGAACCTGATGTTCTTGTAAACTCTACCTCAGAAATTGTAGAACGCTTCAGTGAAAGAGGTATTAGGTGCGATGTTGCTCTTAAAGATTTATGCAAAAGGAAAGGACTTCATGTTGAGGTAACTAATAAATTATTTGTTTAACATAAGCTGTATTGCAGCTGACTTATTATGTTTAATGTTCAATGCGCCTCTTTTATATGCTACAAGTTTGAAGAAACTTTTTTTATTATACAGTCTAAGTAACAGGGTTTATGCACAGAATCAAACAGAAAGAAATTTTTGTGTCCAACATAGTAATTATGTGCTTATAACTAGTTACCTACAAACTCATGTCTAAAGTTTTGGATGTTGTCTCCTATTTTGTGTTGTGAAGTCATGTCCCTGACTGGGATTGTATGGTTTAGTGTGTAAGGAATTAAGTGGTCACCTTATATCATAAGCCTACAGAATTGACATCATCATGAGTTTGGACTTTTGATGAATCTTTTGGATCAAATATCCCAAGGTTTCACAGCTCATCATTTTGACGATTTTGAATTTGGATGATTTAAAAAGGTCATGTTCTTGCTAATCATCCTTGTATGCTAAGAACTCAATAGGGGCAGTAACTTGCTTACTAATTCTTTGTTCCATTGCCTGACGCTGGTGGAACTTTGTTCTCTTTACACGGTAGTGTGTATTGGGAGATCCTTACGGGTAGCCAGTCTTTACATAACTTGAGTCAGCTTTACTTAGCCCAAGCAATGCCCAAAAGTTCTATGTATTTCTTAGTTCCCATTGAAATTAGAGTTGAGGAATATGGTAGTGCTACCTGGAGGGTCAATAAGTTTTTAATTTTTCTTACATCAAATTGTGGATCACTAATTCTAAAGACATAAGACTTATTAGGGTGCTAAAAAGACAAATAAACATCTTACAACAATCCTAATGTTTCTATTCGTACATGAGGAAAACTTTGTTTAAATTTTTGTCGACTAGCAGTTAACGCTTATGTAACATGGTCGCTGGGGACACCAGATGAAGAAGTTGACTGAGTATCAAACGTGGTTGACTGGCTTACAGTTTACCAGACGTTTTCAAACAAACTAGTTTAGCAATCCAAAGCACATGTATTTTACAAAAGCCGAGGTCCAGTTGAATACTATGTAGCAGTGATTGAAAGAACTATCTCCCTTGATGAAGTTCTGTCTTCGATTATGAATCTTTCAGCTCCTCTTGGAGGAGCAGACTCCATAACCTTGGCTGTAGATCTAACTGATGCTCAGCATATTATTCTTCAGACAATTCATGAAGGAACTTATGTGAGATAGTCTATTTCCTCATGATTTTAACTTTGCTTCCATTAGCCTCCTCATATTGGGAAGTAATTCGGTGATTTCTCACGTGACATGCTAGGAGAACCAACGTACCAAAGAGGCAGTTGAGCAGTTAAGATGACTAATCACTTGTCTCTTACCAAACTGGATTTGCACTTAGGTGAAGGCGGATGAAAGGTGGAAACTTTGTTCTTTTATTTTCTCTTCGACAAACTATCTTCTTGCCATAATTTTTTTTTCTATAGGCCTCTAGCAAGGGAGTCGAAGTCTTCTAGCCTCCAGACCAATGCGTCTGAGTTGTCCTTCTGATTACCTTTTGGTGAGGACCAAAGTCGACATATTCGTCTGCATGTCAAGATTTCTGCAATAGCCGCCTAGCAGTGACTATGATAGTGTTGGGTTTTTTCCAGCCCATGATAAATTGTCCTACGTCTATAAGGAATTATAGTCTTAGAGGATTAAATTGTTTTCCCCATTGGAGTTGTTTTCTCAATTGGAGAAGGATTCATAACTGGATTCCAATTAGGATTAGTAATCCTTATTGAAGAAGACCTTTATTATGTCTTTATAAAGGGGCCATTGTACTAGTTTTGAAAGAAGGGAGCAAAACAATAGATTGTATACCACTCAAGGAATTAGAGTGAGAGAATATTGTAAAGTGTGCGAGAGAAAAGAAAAGAGATGCTGTATTTCTTGTTCTTGTTCTTTCAGGTTTTTCGTCAAGTCCTAGTTCTAGAGATTTGGCAAGATTATTGGTTGTACTGATTATTGATATAGTGAAAGATTGTTGTTGCTGTCCCGTGGACGTAGGCACATATTGCCAAACCACGTAAATTCTTGGTGTTATTTTTCTTGGTTATTTGTTTTCGATCTCCGGAGTTTGTTCTATTTTTCCATTCTTAAACGCGATATTCTCAACAGATAGATCGTTCTTCTGTTACCACAGGGGTGAACCAGAGTTTGATCCATGGGTTTCTAACTTCCTTGACTATTTTTAATTTAGACTCTGCTTCATGTAATCCCTGCATTTGATTGACCATAACCTTACATTTTTTGTAGAATTCTCTAAAGTTCCGTTAATTTTTTAATTGGTGGACTAGGGTTTGGAGTTTAGAGATTTACAATTAGTACCTCCATGGGTGGTCTGTAAAGCATCTGAGGTTTCCTTTAGGGTCCTGATTAAAATATCCTTTTTTATACACATAAGGAAAAGGCACATTAGAGAACACATGCTTTAGCATCTGCGTAATAAATCCTATGTCTAGAGGCATAAGGCCGTCTGTTGAAATTCTATCACTTGCAGTGGTTTGAGTAAGATGTGTTTCCTGTTGGGCAATGAGCCCAGGTGGACCCACTACCAAAACCAAGCACCAATGCTCCCCAAATCTTGAAATGCTGTATTAGTGTCCTGAGATCCGACTCGCCGGTTCAAATAGTCATTGCTTTTTATTTATTATTGTATTTAATTTATAAAAAAATTTCGTTTTAGTTTGTTACTACATTAAGCTTCAAATAATTTAATTTTCCTGGTCTTGAAATAACTCTCATAGGGAGCTCATTTAATCGGGGTTGACAGTCTTGGAATGGATGTTAGAGTCTTCTCAGGGTTGGAAGTGCAAACTCATCGTTTTCCCTTCAAAGTCCGGGTAAGCATTTTGAAAATAAAATGCATGCTATGTTCATAAAAATGGAGGCTATTCCATGACAAGAACCTTAGTTACATCTGTTATCTTGTCCGTTGATTTCTTTCACCAAGTAGACATTGGAAATGCAATCTGCAGCACGCACAGATTTGTTTACCCTTGATCCTTTTCATTTTGTATGAGAAACAAATAACCATGCTTGATTTGCTTAAACCGTCATTTTGCGGGAGGCATGTTCTCATCTGCGTTCATACATGTGCTTATCTGCATGCATGCATGTGATTTTTTCTTCATAAAAGGTACAGAGAGAAGTGCATAAAATTAGTCGTGTATTGATAACTTGATACTGGCACACTGGTCAACTTAGTTTCACAGGTAACTAAAGGATTTTGTGTACTTGTGTATATGTAGGCCACATCCGAAGTTGCAGCTGAAAAACAGATTCAGCAACTTTTGTTCCCACGCTCTCGCCGCAAAAAGTTGAGTGCTCATAATGTTAGGGGCGTGGAGTCTTACTAATTCGTTCATTTGCGCTACTGTGAAGGAATAAGTTCTCAAAATAAACTTCGGGCTGGAACAAAGGGGTATTCACTTATTTATTTTTTCTTTGTCCGTTCGCTTTGATGTGTAACGCTCTTTCGTTTTTCTTTTTTTTATCGAAGAAACAATAAGCTTGTACTAGCTTTGATAGGAGAGAATCTTCTTTCTGCTAGAATATGTCTGATGATAGAACAAAGAACATTATAAACGGTAGCCCCTTCAGTATGTTAGACAGGACGGAGCTCTGATGATGATCGGCTGAAAGTTGCACCAGCAGGATTGTGGAAACATGTAAGTAGCAGATAGTTGAGATGACAGAATAAAATGTCCGGCGATGAAAACAACGGTGCAGTTTCATTGTCGTCGACCGTACTAATGGGAAAGCTTGTGATCCTTAACGTAGTCTGGTTTGCTGAATTTTTTTTTCACTTTTAGTTGAGCTTTTCTTTCTTTGGTCGATAAACTTTTAGTTGAGCTGTAATGAGAAAACAGGTTGAGAATAAAGTAATTAAGAGCATTGCTGAGTAACCAAATTACTATTACTATCATGTTACTTACCAAATTACTGTGTTAAACGGACGGCGAATGAACACCGGCATGACTTGGTATAGGTTTCTATCGCAAATGGTCCTTGAAATCGACTCCCAGATGGTCTTTGAAACTGGAGCAAAATGACTAGTTGACATTTCCAAAATGGTCTGAATTAGACAATACATCAGCTTCTGCAATTGTTTATGACTTGTTTAAAAGTGCTTTTAAAATGGTTGAAAGTGTTTGTGGTGAAAATGTTTTCGAAACCAATTTTTAGTTAAAATGCATTGAATTTTAGAAACCACATAACCAGTGCTTCTTGTAGGAAGTAGTGCTTTTAGAAATCAAAAACATTTTTTCTGAAGGTACTTTGAAATATTTTATAAGCACTTTCAAACGAGCCTTGTATATTGTAGGCTAATGGCTTCTTACAATTGTTTCGGTTTTTATAAAAAGTTTGAAAGGAGAGTATCACTAGATGACGTGTTAGCAGTATGACATATATAAAGAATGATATATGCGTTCCACTCTTAGTGAAACCACTTCGTTCCACTCTTTTCAAATTTTTTATTTACACAAGTTCGTCCTTTCATAACGAATATTTTTCGTTCCACCTTTTGTTTGGATTATAACATATTTATAAAAACTTCGTTAAATCCAAAGGGTGGAAGGAGAAGGTTTCACTAAGGTGTGACGCAATTATTATTTACACATAAAATTAACATTTGGTAAATTATTAATCACCTTCCTACCAGTGACATTGTGACATTAAACAAGAAATTTTAATGCAGGCAGTACGCACACGCTTGGCGGTACGACTTCCTTGCTTTACAAGCTAATGATCAATTCGACGCCATACGTCGAATGACCAGCTAAAACTTCCAGACTCGTTCGAATCCTCGTCTCGGTAATTTAGACGAATTTAGTATCCTATCATTTGCCAAAGAAAGAAAAAAAAAATTATACATCCACAATTTTCAACCCTCAAACATCCATTGTTCAAGTTTTTGTTTAAATAGCAATGCAATGAAGCCAACATTACTTCCTTTACCGCGGCGGTCGCCGTCGTCTCTTGTCACCTATGTTGATATAGCCTCTTGAGTTTTGAGTAAGAAAACTTTTGTTCATGATTTCCTCCCTTGTACATATTTTCCTACGCTCTTGCTGTCAGCTACTTCCCTTTCTGTACTGCTACCAGTAACAGTCTCATGCCTGCTGCTATCCCCAGATTTTGAGGTTCCGGCCCCTGTTCCTCGGCCTACTGGACCAGCTTCCTCGTCAAAATGTTTGCTTCGCTCTGCATTTTCATCCGCAACATCAGCACGGCGTTGATCCTCCTCTTCACCCCTGTATCAAATGTAGAGGACAATGCATACATTAGTCTGCTGGCATAAGAGGGAGGAGATAAAATACTTGTGCACATCAGAAGACACGAATCACAGCACCGCACAAGTGGCTAGGAACGATAAGTGTTTTTATTGACGAGCTGATGTCTAGAATGACTACTAGGCTTCTGCCAATGTTATAATGACAACAACAAAGCCTTATCCCACTAAGTGGGGTCGGCCAATATTAATCAGCATAAATTCCCGTATTACAACATCCTTTCACAAAACTCATTACAGCAGTTATTACCTAGATGAATTCTGTGAACAGTTGTAATTATGTAAACAAGTGAGGTAGGCCTGTCAAGACAAAGAAACTGAAAAGAGAACCAAAATTACATACCCCGAATAAATAACAAGCCCAACACAAACGCCAGCAAAGGCCACAAAGTACATCCAATCAACCTGAGACGATTCATGGCTTAGAAAGGGAATTTCACGTTCTAATATAAAAAAAGTACAGATGACTGCAAATTTTCATGATAAAGAATGGAGATGGCAATACAATTAGTTTACAGACCTTCTCATGGTACGCAAAAATGCGAATTAAGACTGCCCACATGTCTGAGGTTAGCAACGAGAGGTTTAACATTGTGGATCCATTAGCCTGCAAGGATAAACAAAATTCATTACACAAAGCTCTAAACCATACACTACGTGCCAAAATAAAATTCATTTACTTTTCTATGTTTTGCATGGAAAACTTGATCCCATGATCTAACCTAAAACAACCTTCTCTTAAACTGCCAAAGAAAGATGCAGGGCAGAGAATCAGCAAGCACGCGGTTGATGCTACACGAACAAGTCTTTTCATACATTCAATTGGACAATTTTATGATGTAAAACTTGACTATTAAGGGAACAGGTTACTTGATTCATACTTCATATAGAAAGTGGACGTAACTGCTACCAAACTGAGATTTCATAACTTGTAAATGAATTTTCACATGACTCGCAAAACATTAAAGGATTAATGCACATTAAGCTTCAGACTACTAGTCAAGTCATTAAATATCAATTGTTTGAAACATCATACCTTCAGTAAGACTGGGACAAATGAGTAAAACAGGAACATAGCCACTGAAAATCCAACAAAAGGAAGTACCTGTAATTAACATGGACAAGAGACCGTCAAAATGCAAGCACAACTAAATTTTAAGGTGATGGAAAATTCGTCAACTATTAGTATTTTCCCTCAGGAAGAAATTCTTCCGTACATGGTTCATTGATCTACTATGAAAATTCATTCAAGTTGTATTGTCTAGATCTGATATCAGAGCCTTTCCTATGTGTTATTGGTAGTCTGAGAAGCCTACAAAGCCCTCAAAAAGCCCAAAGGCAGCTCATACCAAATCCATAGATTCCATCAATGGCCCCAATTTTACTAGGTCAGATCAAAATGATTTAACCAGTGGAGGACAAATGGACAATGCATAATGTCTCCTGCACTATCAACTTCAAGAACCAGCTTGTGATAATCCAAGCTGACCGTACCTGTCCAGATCAGCTAATTAATCCCTACCTCATGGCTGGGGATAGACCACGAACCAAGACACTGGGCCATGTGCCCCCTCCTGAAAAAGGTGAATGTACAGTAACATCACAGGAGTTGGAGTTGTGTCAGAAGACTCTGGTGTACTACTGATACCCCATACACACACTGGCCTACCTATTCTGCCTCTGCATAAATCGGATTCAAGCTAATACAGTTTGCCTATCATATATGCTCTGCAAAAAGTCCAAACATCAGCTAAACTAACTCGGCCATGAATGCCAGTTTAGCACACCCTGGTATCCCCTACTGCAACAACCTTTTCCCTCTATGTGTTCATGCAGGTTATCACTCCTAGATGCTCACTTTGTAAATGAAGACATTTGACCACGAGAGATTGGCACCAACAATTTCCAGGTTGTTCCATATAATTTGTTGGTTAATACCAAAAATAATCAACTGTAACAATTAGTTTATTATTCGCATGAAAAGAAGAAATAACTCAGCTCTCCTTTATAGATCAATCAAATTACCTATTTTGGCACCAAAAAGCAAAAATGTCTTAAATGTGATGTAGCATGTTCAATTTGACTCTCTGTATCCAACTGATTTAACAATAAAAATGGCAGGAATATTTTAGTTTCGATATTTTAAGGGAATCAAATTCTTGCTGCTGATGTGCACTGTAGCTATGAGCAAGTTTGAATTGTTCAATAGAGAGAGAGAGAGAGAGAGAGAGAGAGGGAATCAAATTCTTGCTGCTGATGTGCAGATGTGTACTGTAGCTATGAGCAAGTTTGAATTGTTCAATAGAGAGAGAGAGAGAGAGAGAGAGAGAGAGAGAGAGAGAGAGACATACTGCCCCAGACGACCAGTGAATGGATTTGAGCTCATGGCGCTCCAGTATGCTCCTATAGGAATCATTAAGGGTTACAACATGATAATAGAATCACATGTATAAAACACTTAACACCACTTTGTACATGATTAACTTCTTTGTATAATCTATTATGACATTTAAAGCACAAGTTGAAGGAAATTAAGGTGTAAGTAATTCATTTGAAACTGCATGTATAGATGATCAAACAAAACTCCACATAAGCTCCAGCAATAGTATCCCCTTTAAAAAAATGAACATAATCAACTAAAAAACAATCACAGAAGTCCACACGTTTACTAAGAAGTCATAATTCTTCTAAATATTGATTGCCTAGATCCAAAACCAAAGGATACATTTGGATAGCACTGACGAAGGCACCAAACAAGCCCAGCATGGACATAAGTTCAACCCTGTCGGCATTCTTTACTAGAAACTCCTGCATAAGATAAGAGAATCAAGTAATATGCAAATGCCAAGTAGCATCTATGAAGACTTTCCCCCGTGTTAAACCTTTGTTTACTAGATATCCCATCATTATCTATGATAATGGAAACAGGCATAAGCTATGTTAATAACAAGAAATATTTGGCTACTCCTAAAACCCAGAAAGATTGAGTATTTACTTACCTCACTGACATTACTGACAGCATATAGCGTAGCACCAGCAATTACTAGGGCATCTCCTACACTGGGCTTGCTCCCTCCTACAAGTCATAACAGTGCATATAACATCAGAATACCACTCAACAAACATATGCAGGATAATTTACCCCAACCTAATTATATATGGTTAAAAGAATTTAATAACAAAACCAAGATAATTGGAAAAAGCTACACTTGACCAGACATTTTGTTTACCTGCTCGGTCACCTGCATGAACATCTGAAAAAACAACCATGACTAGCCCAGCAACACAAACCACCACACCAGTTATCTTTGCAAATCTATATTTTGTTTTTAAGAAAAGCCAAGTAAGAAGCATAACGCATGGGATAGACCAACAATCCAGCAGCATTACGCTTGTTATAGATGTGTATTGATAAGCCTTCACCACTGCAGAACAAATGATATAAGTTATCAAATATGAAACTGTTGTAGGAAACCAATTTTTATTCAAATTTACTACTAGAAATATCCAGCACACATACTGTACTTATAACTTGAAAGTAAAACTTAAGCGATGGCAGTTGTTCACAGTTTTTTTATTTTTATTTTTTATCAAGCTTCACAGTTTCTTTATTCAAGAAT